TTTTGATTGTGAAGTCTATTTTTTTATGTACGCCCCCCCCCCCCCTCCTCACCCACCCATATTACATTGTTACCTTAAAATATATAACTATCAAAGCAATGCTACACGTTTTGTTTACTAAGTAAACCACCGACAATTAATAATCTAATCAAGTGATAATCTAATCAGGTGATTAACATTTAATAACATTAAAATAACTGAAAGAAATCTTTCTTTCCACGAAATAAAATTTCTGGAATTCACTTAGCCAATGGCAGCTAACCACTTACAATAACGATAGGGAATTAAACATTTTTAGAATTATTAATTATTTTCTCTAGTAAAACACTTTTGATTTTTAAAAAACAAATGATATTGCGTGTTGCTTTACTTTTGTTTAAACTCAATGTAATTTATTTTATAGTTTAGAAAGCGAAGCAGTACAGTACATACTTCAAAACAATGTGTTTTTTTTTTGTAGTAACTCACAACTGGCCAATCGCAATTTGTATTATACGGCCATGAATCACAAAATATTCATCTGTTAATAAAAATGTAGTCAAGGTAAAATATTTTCAACTATCTCGCCTATACACATTTTTTATCGGATACATTCTCAAAATTTAAAAAATCTAATGCTTTGATATTACTTTTAAAATTATAAAAATAATGCTAGTGAGAAAACAAAATGAAAAAAATTCAATCAACTAAAGTGATTAGGTCTCATTTAGTACGATTTAGCCAAAAAAACCAATATCACTGCACTCTAGGCTGATAATTAACCTCCTAATCAACCAACATTTTAATCAACAGGTCAAATCCTAATATAAATTAAACGAGTAAACAAATGGACATCTAAACCCAACATTTCTAATAGGCAAAAGCGTATATACATAAGCGCCACTGCCCATAGATTATACCTACCTAGTCCATTTACATGGTTCCTAGTTTAGTTGTTTGTAAACGTTTTATGCTCTCCCCCCCCCCCCACATACTCAGCCACCCTGTGCTGACCTAATAAGTTTGAAGGCCATATCCCAGACTAGCTGAATGGATGGACAGGAAGCACGCGCAAACAAACAGCCGTCTGCTCTCAAATACTCACTCACGGACATGCATCAAAAGTAGGGTACACTCACCCGAGCAGCACAGTAGCGCACGTGTGGACCCATTCACGTGCGTTTGATTTACAAGGTCAAAGGTCAAGCCGTTCACATCTGAGGGGTCAGGACATAGCTGGTACAATATGAGTACAATTTTTGACGAGCGATTACTGGTAGCGATACTTATCTGCGGAGTTAATAATTGACTGCTACAGTATGAGTGAACATTCTTGTTTAATAGGTGATTACTGGCATCGATACTTAGCTGAGGAGTTAATAACAATACATGACTGGTACAATATGAGTGAACATTCTTGTTTAATAGGTGATTACTGGCATCGATACTTAGCTGAGGAGTTAATAACAATACATGACTGGTACAATATGAGTGAAAACTTGTTATTTGGTGAGTGATTACTGGCACCGATACCTGAGGGTTCAGGACACGACTGGTACAATATGATTGAAAGCCTTCTCGTTATTTGATGGGTGACTATTGGTATCGATACTTTTCTGAAGGGCCCAGACACGACTGGTAGAATATGAATGAAAGCATTCTTGTCATTTAATGGGTGAACATTGGTAGCGAAATTTTAGAGTTGCGTCATTTTAGATTTGGATTGGTCTGACTGTTTGTGACAATGAGGGGTGGAGGGGGGGTGGGTAACTTAGCTACAAAAAACCGTGACGTTATTTCGATAAGTTTCCTAAGCATTGACGTAATAAAACCAATATTAGCTGATTGTAAAGATTGTGTTTTTTTTTTTTTGACACTGTTCAAAAGAACCTGCAGAGATGGTAGGTTTTAATTGTGTGAGTGATCACTGATATCACTAATTAATTATTTAAAAACAATTACCAATGCACGGCAGAGGCGTAGCAACCCTTCCCGGCGCCCGGGGACAAACTTTTCGATTTGCACCCCCCCCCCCTCAAGATTTCGATTTGCACCCCCCTCAAACTTTCGATTCGCACACACATCCCCCCCCTCAAGATTTCGATTTGCACACCCCCCCCTCAAACTTTCGATTTGCACAACCCCCCCCCCTCAAGATTTCGATTTGCACCCCCCCCCCCTCAACCTTTCAATTTATTTTTCCAATCCATTTTGGCGCCCCCTAAGGTCGGCGCCCGGGGACATATATCCCCCGCCCCCCCCCCCCCCCCCCCTCGCTACGCTACTGATGCACGGTATGTGTTATGGGAAGATCCCGACTGGTAGTGTACATGTAAAGCCTATTCAGTCACCCCCACCCTCAAAATAGTTTTTCTTATCCCAGTGGGGTATTAGGGATGAGACGGGCAGGGTCGTATCTTGGGGGGCCCGGGTTTTATTGGGGAAGGGTGGGATGGTGTGGGGGGGGGGGGGTGCATAAACTCAAACTCGTCTTGCTATGACTATAACACCAAAAAAACAT